AAACTAAACATGGGTTCACAAGAAAAGGAAAGGAAAGGAAAAAATAAAAGCCACTACATGGAAATTCTCTGACAGTAAAGCTCTGGAAGAAAACAGTTTTCATCCAAAGAGAGGGTTGGCACCTCACCAAGTCATCACAGCGAATGAGGAAATGAGCCAGGTGACCCCAGCTAGCAGGATACATGTCCCAGGTAGCCAAGTTGGGTATGGGCCTGCGGGGCCTGGGAGAAATGCCTGATGGCAGCTGGAGAGGTCAATGCCCACCAGGAAACTTGATCCTGGAGGGCACCTGCAACTATTGCCCCTCCTGGCCTTGTACGTCTCCAGCCCTGGCCCAATCTAGAAGGCTTAGGCCACTGTCAGGCTCTAGTACTGGAGATCTCCGAACAGGAGATCTCCTATCCCGGTTCCGTGTGATTCTGGCTCACTGGGGCTTACTCTTGGCTCTAATCCTGACTGCAATCCCCACCCCGTGACCTGGCCTTCATCTAATCCCTCCCAACATTTGGGCCACAGCTTTTCTCTAGTTTTCCTGGCTTAGCCTGTCCTGCCCTGGCCCTGACTTCTTGGTCTCTTTATGACTCAGGACTCTGGCTCCCTGCCCCAGGACCCACCCTGCCTATGTTCCAGTCCTCCCAGCTAAGGCCCCACAAGGGCAAAGAATGGGAGTGTTTAACCCAGATCCTGCCAGGCTACCAGGAGCCTCCAGTCCTGTCTAATGAAATGACAACATGGGGGCTTCTGGTTCCACATCCCAGCTGTACCTGCAGGATGCTCTAGACATGTAGTAATCCGTGGAGCTTCAAACAGGGTCAGTCTGAGAAGCTGGCACTCTATCAGGGAATTGGCCCCTGAGTGCAGACCATACCCAGAATGTCACAGCCCACAGACCCAAAGTCTGCTTGCCCCATGCCCCTCACCCTGGTCACAGAGTGTTTGAGAACTAAAGGAAGGAGTGCAGGAAATGGGCTTGCCCAATAGACCTGATACTTGGAAGCTTGGAAGTCTCAAGTTGCCAGCTAACATTCACACCTGAGCTCTGGCACAAGATCTTTAGCTCTGGAGGATACTGTCTTAGTCTTCCCCATTTCTGCTGCCTGGCAGTGCCTGGCCCATTGTCCCACTCTTCAGCTTCAGTTCCTCATCTGTGACACAGGGATAATGCATGAGAAACACCTAGGACAGCACCTGGAATGTGGTTGGTACTCAAAAACAGTAGCCATTGCTAGAAGGAAGAACCATCACTAGATGCTAAAACTCATGAGTGAAAATTTGAGGAGGAAGAGAATATTTATATAATCTTAAGTATCTGCCCTTAAATTACTTGTTAATTAAAAAGAAGGAAGGCAGTGATCAAAGGACAACTATCAAGAGAGGGGAAAAACCTCCACAGAATGAAAGTACTTGCAATTCATATATAATTATGATAAGGGATCAATATCCAGAATATCTAAAGAGGGCTGGGTGCAGTGGTTCACACTTGTAATCCCAGCACTCTGAAAGGCCAAGGCAGGTAGATTGCGTGAGCTCAAGAGCTTGAGACCAGCCTGGCCAAGATGGAAACCCCCATCTCTACTAAAAATAGAAAAACTAGCCAGGCATAGTGGTGCATACTGTAGTTCCAGTTACTAGAGAGGCTGAGGCAAGGGGATCACTTAAGCCTGAGAATTTGAGGTTGCTGTGAGCTATGATGCCATAGCACTCTATCCAAGGTGGCAGAGTGAGACTCTATCTCAAAAGCAAACAAACCCTGCAACCAAAAAACAAAACAAAACACTGGTTCAAAAATGGGCCAGGAGTGGGGTGCCATGACTCACTCCTGCAATCCTAGTACTCAGAGAGGCCAAGGCTAGTGGATTGCTTGAGCTCAGGTGTTTGAAACCAGCCTGAGCAAGAGCAAGACCCTGTCTCTCCAAAAATAGAAAACTTAGCTGGGAGTGGTGGTGTGTGCTTATAGTCCCACCTACTTGGGAGACTAAAGCAGGACGATCACTTGAGCTCAGGAGTTTGACGTTGCAGCAAGCTATGATAATACCATTGCACTCTAGCCAGGGTGAAAGAGCAAGACTCTGTCTCAGAATAAAATAAAGTAAAAAAGGCCAAGGGACTTGAACAGACACTTCTTCCAAAAAGATATACATATGGCCAATACGCAATGAAGAGATCCTCAATATCATTAATCAATAGTGATATACAAGTCAAAACTAAAACCACAATAACACCTAGCTGCAATTAGGTGCATTAGGACGGCTACTACATGTGTATTAAAAATTAGCCAACCAACAAAGTAAAAATTGGAAAATAGCAAGTGTTGGCAAGGATGTGGAGAAATTGGAACCACATTTTGCATTGCTGGTAGCAATAAAAAATGATGTGGCTGAGAGAGTCAGAGACGCCATTCGCTTCCATCCATTGCGCAGACCCTGCCGGAGCCGCTGCCCCTGTGGATGATCGGGAGGATCTGGTGAACCAGGCAAAGCTGGCCGAGCAGGCTGAGCGATGCGACAACATGGTGGACTCAAAGAAGAAAGTAGCAGGGGTGGATGTGGAGCTGACAGGTGAAGAAAGAAACCTTCTATCTGTTGCATATAAGAATGTGATTGGAGCTAGAAGAGCTTCCTGGAGAATAATCAGCAGCACTGAATAGAAAGAAGAAAACAAGGGAGGAGAAAACAAACGAAAACTGATTCGGGAATATGGGCAAATGGTTGAGACTGAGCTAAAGTTAATCTGCTGCGCCATTCTGGATGTACTGGACAAACACCTCATTCCAGCAGCTAACGCTGGCGAGTCCAAGGTTTTCTACTTCTATAAAATGAAAGGGGACTACCACAGGTGTCTGGCAGAATTTGCCACAGGCAATGACAGGAGGGAGGCTGCGGAGAACAGCCTGGTGGCTTATAAAGCTGCTCGTGATATTGCAATGACAGAACTTCCACCAACGCATCCTAGTCGCTTAGGTCTTGCTCTCAACTTTTCCGTATTCTACTATGAAATTCTTAATTCCCCTGACCGTGCCTGCAGGTTAGCAAAAGCGGCTTGGGATGATGCAATTGCAGAACTGGATACGCTGAGTGCAGAAAGCTATAAGGACTCTACACTTATCATGCAGTTGTTACGTGATCATCTGACACTATGGACTTCAGACATGCAGGGTGACGGTGAAGAGCAGAATAGAGAATGCTGCAGGATGTGGAAGACGACAATCAGGGAGACACGACAGCCACCAAGAGAAACCATCTCTGACCACCCCACTCCTCCCCACCCCACCCCTTGGAAATTCCCCATCGTCACTGAGAACCACCAAATCTGACTTTTACATTTGGTCTCAGAATTGAGGTTCCTGCCCTTTTGGGTTTTGGGGGGTTTTTTAAAACAGTTTTTAAAAGTTCTTGAAGGCAAGAGTGAATTTCTGTGGCTTTTACTGGTCCCAGCTTTTAGGTTCTTTAAGACACTAACAGGACTGCATAGAGACTTTTGCAGCATTTCTGTATTGTCTCCGTGCCAGATGTGGCAAGATCCCTATTAGAAATGGAAATTACATTTGAAAGCCATTAGACTCCTAGGTGACGCAAGCATCTTAAGAGAGAGGTTGATCACAGTATCGAGGCATACATGGTATCATTTTTCCTTTTTCTAATTGTTTAAACCGAATGTTATACCAAGGTTTAAAATTAATTGGGTGTTAGCTTGAGGTGGTTAAAGGTTGTTTGGGGGAGTTTGTTGTAATGGTTTTGCTGTAAAAGGTGTTTCAAACTTTGCTGAAATGTTGCTGAAAATCATGGTGCTGGTAACAGTTCAACAGTCCGTGGCTGCTCACTCTTGCCTACTTTTTTTTACATTTATTTTTTTATTTTTTTATTAAATTATAGCTGTATACATTAATGCAAACATGGGGTACAGTGTAGTGTCTTCATATACACTTTGAAATACTTTCATCAAGCTGGTTCACATAAATTTCTACTTTTACTTCCCTCTGAAGCAGGTTAGCATGGAAGGTGGTCTGGAAAAGCCTGCATGCGCGTTCAATTCTTTATTTCTTCTCCTTCCCTCTCCCCTACCCAGCCTTTCCCTACCCCTTCCCTCCTTTGCTCTTTCAAGCTCTTTTGTTCAGTATGTGTAACTTGAAGCTAATTTGTACTACTGGATATCTGACTGGAGCCACAGATACAGATCTGTATTGTTCTTACTGAAACACAGCATGGAATTAACATTAAACTTAAATAAAACAAACCTAACATAAAAATGCCAAATTAAAAAAAAAAAAAAAAGGATGTAGCTGCTATGGAAAACAGTCTGGCAGTTCCTCAAAAAGTTAAACATGGACATACCAGGCGATCTAGCAGCTCCACTCTTAATCAAAGACAGGATTAAAGTCAAGAGCCAATTTCAAAAGAATTTAAAGCAGCAACTCAGAAACTTGTATGCTAGTGTTCATACCAGCATTATTTACAATAGCTAAAGGGTGGAAATAAGCCAAGTGTCCATCATCAGATAAATGGATAAACAAAATTTGGCATATACATACGATGGAATAACATTCAGGCTTCAAAAAGGCATAAAATACTTTTTTTTTCTTTTGAGATAGAATCTCACTGTGTCATCCTCCATAGACTACTGTGGCATCATAGCTCACAGCAATCAAAGTCTTGGGCTCAAGCAATCCTCTTGTCTCAGCCTCCTAAGTAGCTGGGACTACAGGCTCCCACCACAACACCTGGCTAGTTTTTCTATTTTTAGTAGAGACAGGGTCTCACTTTGCTCAGCTTGGTCTTGAACTTCTGCGCTCAGGTGATCTACCTGCTTTAGTCTCCCAGAGTGCTGGGATTACAGGTGTGAGCCATTTCACCAGGGCCTAGGGCATAAAATTCTGATACTGATACAACATGGATTAACATTGAAAATATTACACTTAGTGAAAAAAACTTGACAGAGATGGACAAATATTGTATTATTCCACTTATAAGCATACAAGG